AATGATGATGATGATGATGATGATGATGATGAAAATGATGATGATGATGATGATGATGATGATGATGATGATGATGATATCATTACATGTGCGTGAAGAAAAAAACGAACTACATTCATTGTCATTTATGATTACTCATTTCGACTTTTTCAAACTTCCTATATTCATATCATTCCTTGCCAATATGCATTTTGTTCTTCTTTCTCGCCTGCTCAAGTGTAAAATTATGTTTAGGCCTTCATCTACCCAGCTTAAGAACATTTAGAAAGCTATACGGGAAATGAAGAAATTCACCTGAAAGTCGTCTTGAACTTTTTTATGTTTGCAGTAAAGACTTATAGGCAAGAAAACATCAACTATGTCGCGTGTTCAAGGTAGAGAGTTCAAATCTTGAAGATGATCAAGGACGTGAACGCCCCCAGTCTTCTGTGACAGACAAGAACATTGCAGGTGGCTATGCTTTGGTTTGTGAGGACAGGTTGCCGAAAATTCGTGATTGGACTGACGATGTTGATCAAAGAAAGTTGTGAGAAGAGTTCGGATACTGTACAGATTCGGCTCGCTGGGGTGCTGAAACAACTGACAGAAGGTCACAAAGTTTGCACAAGGAGGCTTGTCGTACAATTTGTGGAACAGTATGTCAGCCTCTTTTACCTTCTGTTTCTAAAATGGGATGAAGATATCAAAGACTTTTGTGTCTACTCAATATCCCAGATACTACATTGGCCTGTTCCTATTTTTTGCTTGTTTGTTTGTTTTTGTACTTTTTATTATTGTTGATGATGATGGTGGTGTTTTTGTTATTGTTCTTGTTAGCCGATTGAGCACCCCATTTGGGTTTCCTTGAGCACTATCCTTACTTACTACCTATTCACTTGGTTGGAGAATAGGTGTCATTGCAGGCGGTGCAAAGCCATAGCTTCCCCCCCCCTCCTTCCTTGTCTCCAGAATCTATGAAAAGGTTGGCTTGCTGATCGTGCAAGTTATCAGGTGGTTGGATATTCTTATGGCTTTCCCACGCAGGTTACTGTCTTTCCCCGACCCACTTGAGACACTAGCTTCCCTCAACCTTTCCATTGTGTGTGATGTGGTGCCTTCATCGTCTCTATGGTCGTCGAACCGTGCTGTCAATGCTGCCATGATCGTGCTGTCAATCTCAACCTGAGTGGCTAGCTTATAAGCACGTTTATTGCCTTGAACCCATGCATGACCAGGGCTCAAGGTCCATGCAATCCTTACGAGTCTGCAGCTTCATATCGCCTCTCGCCAGTCTGCATACATCATTGTGCTTCTTCACTTTTTCGAGGATACTATCGAGTCAATGACGAGGATGGCAGACTGATCTCCAATAATCCATTTTAGGGCCTCTGTGATGGCTTCGTCTCCATACACATGATAGACGTTGCTATGATATTTGCGCCTGAATGCCTTTTCTGTGTGGCCCCGTTTACACGGGCGCTGGAAGCCTATCCAAATTTGACCCCAACTTGGACAGATCATCTGTGAAGATGACTACGTCGCCCTGTTCACTGTTCTCGTCTATCAGGGTCGCTACCTCGGCATTGGCTGCCCCCTCTGGCCACCCACGACATTCTCTGCCTGATGTTGCTACCGGTCGAGTTACTGAACAAAGTGTGTGAGTGACGCTGACCCATTCACTACTCCGAATAGTCAAAGTCATCGCTGCCTCATTCATCCATTCAGTCCTCTAAGCAGACGTGTGCGTACAGTTCTTCCCACTTTGTCATGTAGTGGGTGCTGATCATCGGAGCTAACTCTCAAAACGCTTCCACGTGAGCAATCTTGAGACGTTCTACCATGTCTGTGAGGTCCAGGAGATAGCGCATGGTCTGACAGGATGTTTCTCGTGTGTACTCGAGAACAGTCCGCATACTTTCATTCCGAATGCTTTCAAGGTGTTTCAGCAACGACGTTGACTAGGTGAGGAGACCGAGGCCATTGTCTATCACCGACAGCACAAGAGTCTGGGAAAGTATGGCTAAAATTGTCTGTGGCATTCTGTTAAACGCCATGGTTTTCAGTGCAGTCTTTTCTGGCGCATGTGACGATCCTATTTATGTGATCACTACCTGAGAGTGATCAGTTGAAAGTAATACCTATACAGATCAGTGAGTGCTCACCCTTCAGGAGCCTGCCGTTGATGGTGACTGTGGGCATCTCTGCAACCCCCACAACACACAAGCCTTATCGGGGTGGAGTTTGCCGTTAAGCAGTGCCAAAAATCATATCCTTACCTTCCATAAATTTTTTACAGACTCATAAGAAATACTTCTCTTCTGCCTTTTTGTTGTTGTTTTGCTCTTTGTTTTGTTTTGGAGGGTTTTCTTTCACTATCTGATGTAGCTGTCCCGCACTCACAACCACATAGCATGTTTAAACATACGTAGCCTTTAAAAACTCTCCGTTTGGTTGTCATTGTGATGTTTTTAATTTTCAGGATTGGATTTACTAAATGAAAACTGTCTTTAGCTATTGCAAATATTATTTTTTATTTCTCTTGTACGGGTCGCACCATTAGCTCAGTTAGTATTATGTCGGAATACGCTTTGAATATTGAAGTGCATCAATATTGACAGAATAAACATACATTGCATATCAAATGGACGGAGAATTTTGCCTCTGCACTAAACAATAGTTTATTACGACATTTTTTTTAAAAACGGATCATAAAAAAGATTGTTCACAAATAACACGCAAAAACTTCTAACATTAATTGTGTTCATTATTATTTTGATTTTGTTTTGTTGTCATTGGTTTTGTGTAGAGCACAGACCCTTTGGGCATTGGCTATATTAAATTTTGGACATAATTTTCTATCAGCTCATCTCAAACGTTACAGAGAGTTGTCTAACAAAGAGTCTTAATTTGGAACAAAGTCACTTTTCTTCCTCTGCTGTTTCATGGGACTTCACATACCTGTAGGATTAATAATGGGGCTATCTACTGGTGACCACTCAAACGATAGTATGATTTGGTTGTCCGAGAATCGTCTAGTGGCCATAGCCCTTTGTTATGCCTGGATATGTCTACTTGAATGACACCATGACGCAAATAAGGACAGGACACGACGTTCCAGCATTTGCGCGATGTGTCCACTAAAACCAAGCCATCTGTTGGTTCTCTCAAATTTGGGTTTGTTTTCCTTTCAGCTCAGACCATCCCATGCCATGGCCGTTTCGTGGCCTCTGTTCTTCACTGATAGATGATAATGTCCAAAACTAACACAGTCCATGTGTAAAAAAGGTATCGTAATCTACTCGAAACCAATGGCACCTAAACAAAATTATAATGAGCACTTGTAATAACGATAGTCTTGTGAATGTTTGCTCCAATTTTTCATTGCTCAAATTACGGTCTACAATCTCCACTGACTTAACTTTTTTTCATATCCCTTAACTTAGACACTAAACTTTTTTGTTATTAAAAGATGATAGACTTGAGCAGAGAAATGGCACAAAGGGGAAACATGGAGAAGTGGGCTGTGGTAGTTTCAAATGTAAAATAAGGCAGCTTAAGAAGAAGAAGAAGAAGAAGAAGAAGAAGAAGAAGAAGAAGAAGAAGAAGAA